ATTTTTAATGAAGAATATTAAATATACAAAAACTTGATTTTGACCCCGGTTTTTAGAGGGTTAATGATTTTTAATTTCGGAAATTTTATCAGAAATAACTTTTCATGGACTCGAAAATAATAATCGCAATTTAATTGATCAAAATTAAGCAACAATTGGTAATAATATAATTTTTACTTAATGCTGTTAAAATAATGGCCCTTTTTTGACCACAGACTAAACCGAGTAAGCGTTATCCAATTTGAACAAAAATTCGTACTAGCACATTTATGAACCTTATAAAGATAAACATAATATTTGTTTGTAAAATTTTTCAAAACTAACAACAATTTTATTATATTTACTTTTATATGTCTTCAGAATCACAAAATTCTCGGGGGAAATTTTAATAACTCAAAACTTTTTTAACCAATTTATAATTGAATAATATATTACAGTCTTCCATTTGACGTTAAAATACAACATAATTTCACTATTAGATGTTGATCCGAGCGAAAAGCCTATTTTCGACCCACCCTAATATACATACATACATATATACATACAATAACAAAATCTCACTAAAAAATCATCAAAATGCTTAAATTTAAATCAATTTATATTTAAAGAAAATATCTAAATTTATAAGTATAGTAATTTAAAATTTTATAAATTTTAAATTAATTAACAATTTCTATTAGCAATAATTATCAATTACTTTATCTACTTTTGTCAAATTTAAACACAAAAACATACAATATACTAAAACAAATTGCATACAATAACAAAGTCTTACTGAACAAACAACCCATCAAGTTTTATTGTTCAGTCGGCTTGATTTGTACTAACCAGTCAAACCATCAGTTTTTTTACGTCCCTTAGTAAGAAAACGAAACCAAGAACTAAGCAATACGTAAGCAGCACACGCAAATCAGTTTTTACTGTTCAGTCGTTGTGTTCAGTTTGGCTGAGTTGAAAAACTTAACATGGTCGCTGCTTGTGTGTGTGGCTGCTGAAGAAAAACAAAACCACTTGCAAGTTATTGCAGCAGTGCGTTGACACAGTTGACTGACTTCAGTTAGCTTGTGAGGGAAAAATAAATACTTGAACTTTCTTCAGTTCAGTCGACATTTAAAAAAATAAAACAAAAAACTAAATATTAAACCCTGATTCAGACTACCAACACATATCGCTTGAGTGGTATTCGTACATAGTATTCATGATAAACCAGCCATTGTTCCTCGACAATCGGTGGATTAACATTGGAATTTCTTCATTATTTGTTTTTTAAAATGTGTTATATAAATAAAAGGTTCAATTTCATTTGAAATTTTCTTAATTTCATTTAAAATTTTCTCAATTTCATTTGAAACTTTCCCAATTTTAATTGGAGTTTTCTCAATTTAAATTCCAAAATTCTCAATGTGGGGAGCTTGAAACCCCCACGTGAATCAAATAGAAAAATTCGTATATCTGAGAAACTATTAGAGCTAGAATCTTCAAATTTTACATGAAGAACTTTGAAATTCATGTGAACATTTAAAGCATAAGGGTGGCTTGGCACAACATATATAAATTAAATACAAAATTTCGTGCATCTTGGAAATTCTTCTATTATTAAAATTTTTATAGATAGATAGAAATTGGCGATAGATAGAAACTGTCGAACTCGCAATAGTTTGCTTGACATCTCTCATATGTAACGTATTATAAATCTGGAAAACGATTGTGGTTAAAATCTTCAAAATCGTTAAGTGGGATTTTTATTTATACATATTCCTTCTAGGGTAGCAAAGCACACTGAGTATAGCTAGTATATTAATAATAAACAATTCTCAATAATTTTAAATTTTATAGATAATTTAATGAAAATAATTTATAATTTGGTTATTTTCCGGCTTATAGCGATAATTTTCACAAATTTTTACTATTTGTACTGAATTGTGTTTGGCATTGCTTCTTCAAACAAAACGTCAAAACAGATTACTCATTTTAAGCACATTATGAAATAAAAACGTATTTAATTTCTTGTTTTTAGGCAGAAATTTCTATGAAATTGTAAAAAACTATTGTAATTTAATTAAATAATTTTTTTAACGTTAAACAAAAATGTTTCGTGTTTGGTGTTCACATTGTGTTCATATTGGGAAAATATTTGTAGGTTGACAAATAAAAATGTTTCACGAAACAGCTGATATTTTGTTTGCTCTTCAAAAATATTTTGTGTTCACATTACAGCCAACAAATATTTGATAAAAAACGTCAAATATTTCATAGGTGTGAACGTAGCTTAAGATTAGAGAATCTTTTAAAAATAGTCAACAATTCGCAATTTATCTATCTATATCTATCTATATTTATAAAATTCTAACGTTACTGACTCACTGACTGACTGACTGATTCATCATCGCATAGCCTAAACGGTTGTAGCTAAAGAGCTGAAATTTGGACAGGAGATTGGTATCTCGCCAAAAAGATCCATTAAGACGGAATTTTTGGAAATGTTACTGTTAAGTGGGTAAAAACGGGTAAATTCGGTAAACTCATATCTCCTAAACTAGAAGAGATACAAAAACAGTTTAAAGCTTATTGCCGTTCATTTAAAAAATAAGCGGACAGGTGTCTGGTACTTTTTTCAAATTCGGCTCCTTTAGGGAATTAACGGGTAAAAACTGTATTTTGGTACTTTTTTTGCACCCCATGTATCTTTTAAACCAATGAACATACAAAAGATATTTTTGACTCCTTCATAACCTAACGGAAAAATCAAAATACAAATTTAGTACTTTTTGGATATTAAGGGGTGAAAATTGTACCTATTTTAGGTACTTTTTGCATAAAATATTGTTTCCTATGTATTGATTTGTATTAACATGTGTATGAATAATAATAATGGGCTCTTACTATGATATTGCAAATATTTATAATAAAATGTTTATCACTTCAATACGGAGAAAAAGTACCAAAAGGGGGAAACACGGGAAATTTGATTTTATTCAAACTCACTCACCCAATTTTAACTAAATATAACAATGGGGTGTTACTTGGAACTTCGGTACAAAGGACTATTTTTTGGTACTTTTTCGTTTTTTAACTGGTACTTTTTGTGTTTTTTATAATATGATCCTAGAAACATAATATTAAGCATGTGGAGCCCGGAGTTAATGAGAATCTATAGAAGGGGAGTTTTTGGTACTTTTTCGATCTTCAAAAGGTACTTTTTGAGTTTTCTATAATATTAAACCTAGAAACATGAAATTAAGCATGTAGAGACCGGAGTAAGTGAGAACCCATAAAAGGGGACTTTTTGTACTTTTTCGTTCTTTAACTGGTACTTTTTGAGTTTTCTATAATATTGAACCTAGAAACATGTAATTAAGCATGTAGAGCCCGCAGTAAATGAGAACCTATAAAAGAGGACTTTTTGGTACTTTTTCTTTCTTCCAAAGGTAATTTTTGAGTTTTCTATAATATTGAACATGAAAACAAGAAATTAAGCACTTTTTGAGCTTTCTATAATATTGAACCTAGAAACATGAAATTAAGAATGTAGAGCCCAGAGTGAAGGAGAATCTGTAAAATAGGACTTTTTGGTACTTTTTTTCTTTTTTCAAAAGGTACTTTTTGAATTTTCTATAATATTGAACCTAGAAACATGAAATTAAGCATGTCGAGCTCGAAGTAAGTGAGAACATACTATAAAAGGTACATTTTCAGTTACATTTTTTTGGTACATTTTCGATCTTCAAAAGGTACTTTTTAAATTTTCTATAATATTGAATCTAGAAACATGAAATTTAGCATGTAGAACCTGTTGTAAATGAGAACCTATAAAAGGGGAATTTTTTGTACTTTTTCGTTCTTCAATAGGTATTTTTTGAATTTTTTTTAATATTGAACCTAGAGACATAAGGAGTAAATAAGAACCTATAAAAGGGAACTCTTTGGTACTTTTTTCGTTCTTCAACTGGTACTTTTTAAGTTTTCAATTATATTGAACATAGAAACTCAAAACTAAGCATTCAGGGACTTATGTGAATTAAAATCTAAAATGGAGTATTTTCTGGTACTTTTTCGTTCATTAACTGGTACTTTTTGAATTTTCGATAATATTGAACTTAAAAAACATGAAATTAAATAAAAGATGTCTTTTGGTATTGTATAAACATTAAATGAAACATATAGTATCCTGATTGAACGAAAATATATAAAAAGAGACTTTCTGGTACTTTTTTTAATAGTATTTTTTGAATTTTCTATAATATTTAACCTAAAAACATAAAATTGGACACGCAGCTTCCTGAGTGTATAAAAATCTGTATGAGAGGAACTTCTGGTTGAAAATTTAACATGCACCGTCCTTATTCAACTAAAATCTAAAAAAGGGACTTTCCAACTGATATTTTTTGAGTTTTCTGTAATATTGAAACTATAATCATTATTGATTGAAAATTTCTGAAATATTGAACCTAGGAACCTGTATGAAAATCTATAAAAGATAGATTTAGTCATCCAAAGACTTATGCCCAAACTCAGAAAGAAGAAAAGAAATTTAAATATTGATTTACATTCTTCTTTCTGAATACGGGCCTTAAAATAGATCTCATACTTTAAGTTTTTTATTATAATAACTAATATAATAATTATTGACTTCATTTAAATCAATATTGATTATATTTTAAATTAACTTTTGTTTTGTTTAAAAAAGTGGTTTTATTGAAGAAAGTACGTACTTTGCATATAGACCAAAATTTGTATTATATCAGGATTCAGTTATAGTCCATAAAGTGGATTAAAAAGAAATTCTGTTATATTCTTAACTCGCTTCTACAACTGTAGTTGTGGACTATAAGCTAAAACTACTGTAGCTAACTTGTTTTTTTCTAACAAAATACATATTATTTTTATTAAACATATTTCCTATGATAAAGAATACAGCACGTACAGCCGAATGCTTTTTTCTTATTTGTTTATTTGTTTCTACCTTAATTTTTAATAATGTTATAAACTTTTTATTTTAGGAAATGCAAACCACCTCAACCAATACTCAAAGAGGAACTTCAAAGGCAAAAATAACAGTCAGTGACAATTTTAGACAACAGTTGCAAGCATTAATTGATGTATTACAAAACACAAAACCTTGGTAAGCTTATTTAATTTATACATGCGCTTTAAGTTTATAACTTTTATAGAATAGAAAATTTCTAATCGGCCCTATCTACTCCATGTAGAGTATAAAAAAGTACGTCGAAATAGAATGTTACTTTTTACCGAGCGTTAAACAAATTTTAAAATTTTTTAATACAAAACCGGAAATTTTTGATATAAACAAGTGTTATTGTTTGACCCACGGCTAATTTTGGTTACAACCCGAAAATGTTCACGTTTATTTTTCCAACATTTAAACTTCTCCTACAGTGATCTCTTCAAGATTGATCCTAAAGTGTCTACTTTTTCTCATTTCTAAATTTTGCATAACTGAAGAGCCGCAAATTTTCAAACGTTGCACAGTGAGACATTTGGCATTTTTGAAACGAAAAAATAAACGCTTTCCAATTGTCTTGCTTGTTATTATGTATAATTAAGAGTAAACATTCCATATACTATAGAAAAATAACTAAAAAATTGCAAAGTTCCTTTAAAAGGAGCTTAAAGTTGCTCCTTTTAAAAACAAAATAATTTTCTTGTAAGATTCCTGAAGCGGCATATTAATTTCAGATATTTATATAGTTTGTTCAGTCTATTAATTATTCTGCAATGATTTTATAGAAAAAAGCTCAATTTAAAAGGTTTTATTTTTTACTCTAAGAAAAAATAATATTAATAATAAAAATATATTTAGCAAGTAGGAAAGTATAGTCGGGCATGGCCGACCATATGATACCCTATACCACTGTGGATTATTTTAATAACAAAGCATTTAAGTTCTTTACCTTAATTTCGAAATATTTTAACAATTTGTTGAAAAAAGTGATTTTCTAAAAGAGGGGTTATATGGGGGCAAGGGTAAATATGGGCCTATCCTTATACATTTTGGTACATGGCTTTACGTTTACATTAGAGTTATGTATGCTGGATTTCATCGTGATACTAGTGTTTATTATTGAATTATTGACCTTCAAGTCATTTTCTGAAGGGGACTTTGTATGGTGGCTAGGGTCAAATAAAGTCCATAATTACGAAAATCGGTAGTATTATTAAGACGTATAACTAAGTTTTGCCGATTTTTGTAGACATACTACAATATTTAACATAATTATGAACTCAAAGCCCTTTTCGGGGGGTAGGGTTATATGGGGGCTAGGTGAAATAATGGACCGATTTCAACCATTTTTAAAAACACGTATGTTCCAAATTTCATCAAAATATCTTGAAAATTGCGACCTGTACCTTGCACACAAGGTTTACATGGACAGCCAGCCGGACAGACGGACATGGATTAATCGACTCAGAAAATTATTCTGAGTCGATAGGTATACTTTAAGGTAGGACCAATATTTTTGTGCATTACAAACATCAGCATAAACGTATAATACCCTCCCCACTATGGTGGTGTAGGGTATAAAAGTTATAATTTTAATGGAATAAATCTAATGACTGCAGCCAATTGCCGTTATCTAATTGTTACCCTTACATAGGAAATTTTCTATAGAATCATATATATGAAAATTGGCTGCGACCTTTTGCGATCAGAAATATTCCAAAAAATCAGAGTGTCCTATAGAATTTAATATGTTTCTTTTAAATTAAGTGTAACTCATATTAGGGGTATACGTAAATTTTGGCCCTGTCACCACATATTAGGCCACAATTATTTCTGTTAAAAAACAATTACTTAAGCCAATCGAGGGTCATAGCTTTATTTAAAAAATAACATTTTCTGTTTATTTCCAGATTTAAATTCAATGATAATAAATTTATTTTTTTTCTTTTAAAAACCGCGGAATTTATACTTTATTTAAAATTTTAATAAGAGTGTAAATTTTTGTGTTAATGTTCTATTCAATTACTTGCAAATATTTTTACAATTTGAGAAAAATTTCTAAAAGTTACCACCCTAATATTTATTATTTTTAAAAATTATAGAAGAGCATGCACTAAAACTGCAATGCTCAGCATTTGAGACAAATCGGATAATACTAACCCGTTTCAAACAGTCTCTAAATGTTGATAATGTATTTTAATAGGAAAATGGGTTTTATTAATGTTTTGCAGATACTGTGCTACAAATATTTAAATTTTGCATTTTCTTATAAATAAATCGTAATCTGTATAAAATTGTCTTTCTAAAAATACATACAATTCTAAACCGATAGCAAAAGTTTTGAGATATATGCGACCAAAAATTTAATTTTTATTCAATATATACCCAGCAAAAACTCGGTAATGGGTTGTACTTCCATAATCACTTGCTTTTCAATGACTACTACTTATCGTCTGCATTACTTAGAAGTACTCTAGTAATGACTTTATTATAATCTGATATAGAAGTACTTTATTTTCGGCTTAGTCATTTTGTTGCACATTTTATTTAATTGCGTGTTAAGAATTGTGTTTTACAAAAAAGAAAACAAAATTAAATTCGTATGTGAAAACCATTATTTGACGTCCAATAAAATAGCTAAGCAGTGATGCAGTGAGTAGAACGGTTGACTAACAAACCGAAGTCCCTGGTTCGTATTCCAGCTGCTCTTTTATTATTAAAAAACAAAACCACTTACTCAACAACTGTTTTGTAAAAGAAATTACAAGTACTTCTTTAACTCTCTATTTGTAAGCGAGCGTAGAAGTACTTGCCTCAAATGACATCACCGTGTTAAAATAATGACTCAAAATGCTAATGAAGAAGTAGTGAAAAAAGGTTTTATTAGCTTCTTAACTCATTACTTTTCAATGTGGGTTTTTCCTGGGTACTTGTAAAAAATGGGCGTGGCAGCAGTTTTATCTTGCTGATTATTGTGTGGAGCGTTTGGCCAATTGTGTGCTAACTGTAACTAAAATTAGAACTCAATATCACTAAGATTTAATTTCTTTCTAAAAGTGGCAAATGTCTCACTGTGCGTTGTATAAATTTAGTTTCAACACTGCGACCACGAAATTCTTTACACACACAATTAATTATAGCCTGACTACCCAGGTGACCAACCATTTTAACATGGGCTTGTCCTACGAGGAAGTCAATCGTCACTCTACACCCTACAAAGATACAGTAAAGAGACGATTGCCTCCGCTCTCGCTTACAAAGGGGACACTAAAGTGACGACTGTCTTCATTCTCGTTTACAAAGAGTTTATTTGTGACGAAAGACCAAAAACATACGAATTGGAGGTGGTAAGATATTAATGGAACTAAAATTTAAAAATTTCAAGTGTCTACTCTCTAGAATACTATGGGACAATAATGTGACGATTGACCCGAAAGATATAAATTTGAGTCAACTAGATGGTGGCACATTAGTAGATGGGTAAAATAACTACTTTCGGAAGTACAAAAAAAAAAAAACAACTTTTAAGAGTATAATCTCTAGGTTACTTGAGGACAGTAAAGAGACGACTGTCTCCGCTCCCGCTTACAAAGAGGACACTAAAGTGACGACTGTCTTCATTCTCGATTACAAAGGGTACATTCGTGACGAATGACCCAAAACATACGAATTACGATCATCCAGGTGGTTAAGTGGAAATTACTGTCTTTTTCGTATGCATTGACTCTTTGCCGAACTGCTGGGTAGTCATTCAACAGTTGCATACAACATTACATTAGCAGAATTGACTTTTTTGGTTGTAGCCAAAAGTTGTAAAAATACTAGTTGGTTTCAATAAATTTTTTGAGAAATTTAAATTTTAAGTGTTTTTTACTACATGTGAATCATGTATGTAAACCACTCTTGGCCATAAAATTTGATGGACTTATTCATTCAAGTCTTATGAACAGAAATTCATCGTTATTAAATTTTTAAGATATTAAACCAAAGAAATATTTACTGCCTAAGGTTGATTTCTTAAAATCTAAAATAAAATGTGCTTTCGAACTATACCACGATAAGTCAAAAATCTGATTAAGGGAAGCACTTAAAGTTGAAAAGCTAAAAGTACGCAACACGCGTTGTACCGGAAAACATGATATAATCAGAGTATGAAAATAAACGAAACATTTCGCAAACGTTTCTATAATGTACAAAACTTTTCAAAATTTTTAAATCGTTTTGTACATGAGCAAATCTAAAAGATCGAAAGAGCGAAAACAAAACAATTGGCTTTTCGCTCATCTATTTGCTTTTGTTTGCCTTTACAATCGTACATTTGAGAATAAAACAAATGCAGAAACGTATTTTATGAAAGAATCATAAAGTGTGTGTGGATTTCATTTTTTTTATTTTGTTTTTGTTTTTATTACTACTGTATTCCACAAATGCAGAAATGAAAGAATCATAAAGTGTGTGTGTGGATTTAATTTTTTTTATTTTGTTTTTATTACTACTGTTTTTATTACTACTGTCTTCTTTTAATTTTACTCAAAAATGTTTTTGTAATGAGCAAAACCATTAGAAAACGTTTGCGAAATGTTTCGCTCAAAGCTTTTAAGTTTTGCTCCCATTGTATTCTTTTCTAGCTGCGAACATGATGTGCTCAAAAGCGAAAACAATACAAAACCAAATGAAAAAATCGATTTTGTTGTTTTGGTTTTGTTTCTGTTTTACTCACTGCAAATATCAAAAAAAAAAAAAAAAAACAAAACGTTTCGTTTAGTTTATTTTCGTACTCTGGTTATAATTTCTGTCGAAAAATGAAATGGTGTATTTTCATTAAACAATGATTTTTATTTTTCAAAACAATGAATATAAATCACATAAAGAATTTTAATTTTCCAATTTTCGAATATAATTTCTACACAATTTCAGCAAATTCGGTTGATAATATCAGTGGTAAAAAATTTTTACCAATTTTCTATTAATCTCTGTTTTAACACGATCATTTTTAATGTGTTTTAAAGGTAAATATCACATAATGAGTTTTATAATTAATTTTAAAAAATAAAAATCATTGCCTGATTTTTATTTGGGCTTTATTAGGTTAGGTTAGGTTGATAGGAGGTTGTATACTACATCAAATCCGAAGAAATACACCTAGGCCACTATCGGGC